ACAAGAGAATATAGTAACTGATTACATTTTTGTAACATAATGACCCCTCCCCACACAACAAAACCTCTATGCATGTATCTACATATATATATTAATCAGGGATAGCACGAGTGTTCAGAAGAATAAGGCAAATTGGGGACATAAGGTGGCATGTGTAGGAAGGCGAAAAGGGAGCCAAGAAAAATGAAAACACAACACGAAGCCCGCCAATAGAACAAACTGTGCGTGTGTTAACACATTTTGTCATTCGCGGGTACGATATGCATGTACTTGTATGTCTTCATGTCATTACAATACTTTTTTAAAGCAAGTCCTCAGTTGAACAGTTGTTTAGGTTATCTATGGTGGCATAACAAACCACCCCAAAACTTAGTAGCTTAAAAGACCCACAACCATTTGCCATGACCTTCTGTGGGTTGAACATGTGAGTTTCCCGTGTGGTGGTGGCTGGGGTGCTGGGATGGCTGGAGGGTTCAGCATGACCTGCCTCACACGGCTGGCGGTTGACACTGGTGACAAGCCAGGAGCTCAGATGGGGCTCTCCGGTGGGGACCTCTGCTCTCCTCCATGTGGGCCTCTCTCTCCACCTGGCTGCTTGGGTGACTGGAGTGAGCAAGGGGTGAGCAGAGGAAGTGTTGTTAGAGAGGGTACAGGAGCCAAATTATATGGGCCTTGGAGACCCCTGTAAGGACCTTGGCTGGTATTTCGAATGAAAAGTGGGAGCATTTGCAAGATTTTGAGGAAAGGAGTGACATGCTATGGCTTCATGCTTTTTAAGGCTTATTCTGTTGGCTGCGCTGAGAACAGACTGTAGGGAGCAAGGATGAAGTGGCTGGAACCCAGATGGAAGAAGTGGGGTGGGGAGACGCAGTCCGATTCTGGGTGCATTTGGGAGGTAGGGCCGACATGAGTTTCTGAGAGACCAGATGGGGGTGTGAGATAAACAGGGGCGCCCCGGGCAAACACAGGCTCTCGGCCGGAGCAGCGGAACGACTGAGACGGGGCTGCCGTCAGCCGTCAACCGAGGCAGGGAGGCTGGAAGGAGGTCAGGAGTTCAGGGGCAGATGTGCTGAGCTTGAGAACAGGCGCCTTTGACACCCAAGTGGCATTGTCACGTTTCACAGTTGGAAACATGGTGGGAGCTCAGGACAGAGGTCCCAGCTGGAGGTATGATGTGGCATCACTAGCAAATCGATGGTATTGAAAGCCACAAGCCGGGATCACGAAGGGAGTGAGTGGTTCATATAGGGAGACACAGCCCAAGGACTGAGCCTGGGGACATTCTAACGTGTTCAAGGTCCAGGAGACAGGAAGAACTGGCAAGGGAGTAAGGAGGCACTGGCAGAGAGTACGCAGGGGGCTTGGAAGCCAGGTGAGGGGAGGGCAGCCAGCCGGAGACAGGGACCCCTCAGCGGAGTTGGATAAACAACCCAGTCTTTCAGAGTTCTGACAACTGAACTGACAGCTGGGTCATGACGGCGCTGCTCATTGATCCCCTGCCGGGGCAGGACGCTGAGGTCTGGTCAATGACAGTGGGTTTCGGGTTGGGGGGCCGGCCACTGATTTTATTCAGAGCAGTTTCAGGGAATCTCTGGGACAAAGAGCTTGCTTGGGGTGTCGGGGCAAATTCAAGAGCGATGGGGAGGAGTTTTGCTCTTCCGAGGAGTTTTGATATCAGGAAGGGAAAGGAGACAAGACTTGTATGAAGATGGGAGGACTAGCTGGATGCCTGCACGCTGATGCTAAGAGCTCATGACGGGGCGGTTCAGCTGAGCAGCGCGTATCCTGAGCCTGGCGCTGATGGGCGGGGCCAAGCACACACCAGGAAGCAACCCAGACGAGACCTGCCCCAGGCAGCCTCCGCTTCCATGGGTCTTTCCAACCGAGGGCATCTCACCCTCGCTCCACTTGCCCTGGCTCTGCTCTGCACGCTCCCGCCGCCAACTCCAAGAGGAGGGTGAGCCCCTGAAGTGCACAGAGGCTCAGCGCTCAGATGGGTCCTTGTCTGGAGTGGCACGCACCCTTTAAAAAGAACATCCTGACTGCTGTCGGACGCCCCACCTTCCCATTAATCGCCTCGGAAAACAACCGAACTGCTGGCAAATATTCAAGCCAAACCCCAGTAGGTGAGGCAGCAAGACGTGACATTGAATGAGGATTCTGCAGCCCGGGCCCGAGAGGGGGGGCCAGACGGCTCCTGTTAAGAACGTCTATTTGCGGCTCTCCAGCCTAATTTCTGACTATGACAATGAATAAATATTGGCCTTTTCCTTCTGCAGCCTTTTCCATCTGGGTGGTTCAACCAAGTAGATGCTGCCACCTCTTGTTTTCTAGAACTGGGGAGAGACTGGGGCCCAGAGAGGGGAAGGGGGTCCACCCGGCATCTCACAGAAGGGTGGTATCAGGACACGGAGGGGGGCATTGGAAGGTTAGAGCCCCCTGGAGGGGAGCTGGCACCGCCCTGAGCTTGAGCTCTACCTCCTGCTTTTGTCCCTCCAATGCACCCTGACGAGAGCTTGTCCAACTATTACTTGAATACCACCAATGATGCGAAGCTCGCTACAGCCAAGTGTTAGATGGTTCCGAATGTTAGAAAGTTCTTTCCTTTGCAAAACTCCTTTTTTGAATTCTTATAACATGCTGAGCACCGTGCTAGACATGGGATGTAGTGAATAAAACCTGCAGGGTCCCTGCCTTCAGTGGAGAAACAAGTAGGAACCCAGACAGATAGCAAAGGGAAGGGAGAGAGAAGATTCCAGGGAGGGAGCTAGTGACAAATGCAGGGACTATGGGGGAGGGAGCTAGTGACAAATGTGGGGACTATGAGGGGGTGAGAGCTGGTGACAAATGCAGGGACTATGGGGGGAGAGAGCTGGTGACAAATGCGGGGACTATAGGGCAGTGTGAGACAGTGACAGGGTCTGCTGTCATTGGTGACCAGGAGCCCTGACAACTACGCTGATAACTCGGTAAAGAAGGCACTGTGCATGGGACATCAGCAGGGACAGCATTCTGGACACACAGCATTGGGATCCGGCTGGCCCCTGAGGATGGGGGGCCACCGTTGAAGTGGGCAGCCATCTTCCACATACTCTTCCAGGAGCAAAACTGGACGGGGCGACTGGGCGTTAGGCAGCAGGGCACTGCGCCTCCTCTCCAAGCCCAGAGGGGCTGTCTGGGTGTGTGCTGCCCCAGGCAGGGCCCTTCCTGGCTAGGTCCCTGTGGCACCCTGAGGAGCCTGTGCTCTGAGTGGCGCCGGGAGGACCCTGAGGCTCTTGAGGCCACAGTCCAGTCGGGTTGGAAGACCTAACTGCTCCCCGGCCCCAGAGGCCCGCCATCCACCAGCCTTGGGCCCCCACTCCCCGGGCTTCGTATGCATATTGGACTCCTGCTGGCTCTGAGCCCAAATCCAGCTTCTCCCCTCGCCCTGGCCCCACCCCGCCCCCCAGGGCTCACAAGCCTACTCCCCTTGCCTGGGGACAGCCCCACAGGGACCTGAAGAAGGCCGATCCCGTCCCTCCTGGGCCTTCTTCAAGATTACAGTAGGCTGGGCCGGCCAAGTGGCTCAGTTGGTTAAGAGCTCGCTCAAGAGTTTGAGCTCTGAGCAACAGCGGTTCAAGTCCAGCCCGAGCTGAGCAGCCGNGGGCCCTTCTGTACGCCTGCACTGTCTCAGCAGCTTTGGGTAAGCCTTCTCAGCTGCAGAGAGGTTTGTACCCCTCCACCTCCCTTGGGGCTCACCCTGGCTCCCCAGGAAGAAAGCAAATTAAGAGGCAGCTCTGGCTTTGGAGACAGACAAGCCTGGAGGCCACTCAGACCTCCACTCTAACGCCGTGTGCCCTTGACCAGATCACTGGAGCCCTCTGAACTCAGCTTCCTCCTCTGGAAATGGGGACGAAATAGTTCCTAACTCAGAGGCCCAACTCAAGGAGGAATCACCAAATTCACCCCCAATGTCTGGGAGGTCACCTTATGGACCCCAATTCTGCACCCACTCACTTTGCAGGGCTCTCCTGTGTCCCCACCAAGACCGCAGGGCCCGGTCTGGCTAACAGAATGAGATGGAGGTGACCACGTGCCGGCTCTGAGCCCAGGCCTCCTATGTTCTGCTTGCTCTCTGTGTCTCTGCCATGGCCAGGAGTAAAGCACGCCGGGCCCCAGGAGGAGGATGAGAGGCACATAGCACAGAGGGGAACCACCGCAGCCGAACCCAGCCAAGAGGACCTGATCCCCAGCCAACCCCCAGACAAGTGATGGCGCCTCGCTGAGCCTGTATCAGCCAAACTCAGCCGAGCTGCAGATCCAGGAGAAGAAATGATGGTGGTTTTAAGCCACTGTTTGTCCAGGTGGTTTGTTACGCAGCATTTCTATGGCAATAGCTGACTGATACAGTGCCTAGTGAACGGTGAAAATCCGATAAGTGTTGACCCCTGTTCCCACACTACCACCAGAACCACAAACACTGCACTGCTCCAGCCTATTTGCTCCTCTCCCACCTCCCAGCTCCCAGGAACCTGAGCCCTGAATCGGCCTTCCAGTCAAGAGAACCCCTGCCTCTGGGAAAGTGGGGACCACCCCACTAAAGATGGCGTCTCCATGGCGCAAAGGGAAGAGCCGCAGGCTGAGGCTCAGAAGGCTGGTTCTGGTGTCAGACCTGCCCCTGAGCAGCCAAGTGGTCCTGGCAAGTCCCTCAGCCTCTCGGGGCCTCGGTTTTCCCCTCTGTAAAACGGAGATGCAGCCCCAGCCCACACCCCACGGGTGTGGAATGAGGATGAAATGGGGGAAGGGCCAGGGGAAGCTGGATGTAGGCAGTGACTCCAGAAGAGTGTGAGGGGAGCCCAGGTTCAGGGCCTACGTAACGCCGAGGCGCTCAGGGGACACGAGAGGGCGGTCAGAGCCGACCACTGACTGAGCGGGTTGGGATAGAGCAGGAAGCAGGCTAAGCCAAGAGAACAACCTGTGCAAAGACCTGGAGATGCTAGCGGGCCAGGCCTGTGAGGGCTTCAGGAGTCCCAGGACCGGAAGAGGAAGACGGAAGACGGATGAGGCTGGGGAGTGGGCAGGAGGACCGCTGGGGTCTGGAATGCCAGGGAACCTGGAAGTCAGGCTTGCTACAGGAAGCAAGGNCAGGGCCAAGGTCACGTTGTGCAACTACCATGACAAGACCCCGTCAGATGTCGGCAGAATGAGGGAGCCCCACCTCAGGCCCTGGTCCCCGAGGGCTAGGCCCACCCATCACCCATGATGTCCATCCCGCATCAAGCAGGCCACCTCTAGTGGGAAGGGCAGTCACCGAGGAGGGCACCCAGCCTGGGGGCCAGCGAAGGCTTCCTGGTGGAGGGGACACCTGGAGGTAAGTCCTGCCAGCGGAGGGGGCTTAGCCAGGGACAGGAGCATGGAGTCATCCCAACCTCTTCCGACGCAGCCCCTGACTCTGTGGCTGACAGGTCCCCTCAGAACCAGCTGAATTTTATGGGCAAAGCACAGATGAGGCAACCAAGGCTCCAAGTGGTCAAGGGGCTTATCTGAACTCACGAGACAGAAAGTGCTGGAACCAGGTGTGTCTGATGCCCGTGCCAAGCAGGCCGGAAGCTGGAAGAGCTGCTCCAGTCCGGGCCCACCGGGCCCTAATTCCCGCTTGGTCAATGGGTGACCTCAAGCAAGTCACTTGGCCCCAGGCCGCTACTTGCTCACCTGCAGAGTGGGGCCCCCACCACCTCCCCACGCTTTGATGCAGGATACTGGGTGGGGAGTCCTGCCAGCCCTGGGCTCAGAGCAGACCCTCTAGGAGTGGGGGGGTCACCTCCATTTCCACATCTAGTCCTTAACTTGGGCCTCAGATACAACCCTGCCTTTCGGTGTGGGACAGCAGCCTGGTGCCGCAGCAGGAGAGCGTGTGGGGTGAAGTGGATGAGTGAGGTCTAAAGCTGGCTGAGCCCCTGACTCACTCTGACCTCCAGCAGGTCCTTCCTTCAATGGTCTCTGCCACCCAAAGGACCACTGTGGGGGCTGGACATCCCAGACCGGTGGCTAGCTGTGCCAGCCATCCCAGCCCCCCAGCCGGCTTCAAACAGGCCAGGCAGTTCCCATGGCAACCCCGCCAGGGGCCTGGAGGCCCGGCTGGCAGTGCCGTGAATAAGCAAGACCCATGAAGGAGGCCAGCCCTGCCCAGGCTGCCCCTCGTCACCTCCTAGTGGGTCTGGGCAGGAGGGGTCTTGAGATCTGAGTTGGATGTCTGTGTAGTAACCCCCACTAGGTTGCAAGTCACAGGCAGACAAATCACATGTCCTGGCTGGACCTCAGCTCGGTCGTCGGTACCAGGAGAATAGCCCACCTTCCCGCCTGCCTCTCCGAGGCTCCCGTGTGGGTCAAAGGTGATGATGGACAGGAGCTGAAGCCACAGAGCAAGATTTGAAGGTGGGATGATGAAGGCACAGCAAATCCCCTGCATCTGGGCCCCTGTAAGGGCTGGAAGGTGGAGCATATGCGTATGGAGGAGGGCTTGAAGCCCCGTGAGAAAGAACTCTCCCTGAGGTAGAGAGGATGTGGGTCAGAGCCCTGGTCCAGGGGCACTGGGCAGGGGCAGGGGAGTATCTTCGGCCTGCCCCCCAAGGACTCCTGCTGGGGCCAGGGGCTGGCATCCTCCCTGGCGGCTGGCTCACTGGTGGGCTGTGCAGGGACCGCGAGGCAGCCTCTCCTCGGGATCTGGAGGGCAGAGTGCGCGCGGCCCTTCTCCACTGGGGAGACTTGTTGTAGGAGCATCAAACGGACAGAGCAGGGGGTAGGTCAGGAGGCAAGGGGGTGTGAGAGAGGCGGGGTCGCCGGCCCAGCAGGGCTGTCCCCTCCACAGGCGGTCAGGGAGAAACCAAGCCTGGCACAGGGTGTCCGTGCTCCCAAGCAGGAGGGACATGCCTATCAGGATGGGAGGACATCTCAGAGGCAGCAAATCAGAGCTCCACCACGCCTTCCTGTCACTCTGTCCCCAAGTCTTCCCCCCAGACTGGAATATTCTGGAAAACGAGGGATGCAGCTGCTGCTATTTGTTCACATTCTCATCATGATCTCTATTCACAAGATACATAGAAAGCGCACGTCAGAGGGAGAAGGGGCCGCCGAGACTGGACTCAGCACAGGGCCCCCACCCCTTGCACCCCTGCCCTTGTGCTCACTCTCTAAGCCAACATTTCCCAAAGCATGACCCAGGGCAGGGAAGGAAAGGGGTGTCTGTGACCACACAGTGTGGGGAAATGCTGGCTTAAACAGAGTACTGTGGAAACCCTTCTCTGCAGGACTTCTCAGAGCCTTGAATATATTATGGTGTATCATGAACCTTCAAGATGACATATACTTTTCCAAGTTATTTGACCATAGGATCCATTTGTCGCAGAGCACCTCATAGGACCAGTGTTTCAGAAACACTTCGTTCATTCACTTACTTTAAAAATATCAACTGAGGGCCGGCCGAGTGGCTCAGTTGGTTAAGAGCTGGCTTGGGACACCAGAGGCCCCGGTTCAGATCCCACGTGAGGGNCATCTACCCATCGGAGAAGAGCCGGACACAGGCCAGCTGTCCACGGGGCCTGCCTGAGGCTCCTCCCACTGCTGGGCACACCGGCTTGGTCCATCTTGGGCTGGAACCCTTCTCTGGCCCCATTTGCTCTCTGTGTCCTCGTCTCCTCGGGCCCCGGGCTCCGGTCTCGCATAAGCAACGCCTGTTCCTTGCATCTCAAATTCGCCATAGCCAAGTCCACAAGCAGCTTGTGACCGTGTCAGCCACAGAGCACAGTGGACCCTGCCATGTGCCATCCAGTCTGAGTCACCAAAGGCCACCAGCCTCTTCTTGGGACACTCAGAGCCTGGCTCATCTGTTGTGAGAAGCTTGAGGCACACAGAGCAGCCACGGGTACTCAGTCCATCAGCAGTGCCAGCCCAAGCACAGACCAGACAGGGAGTGAGATGTGCCCGGTGATTCTCGCCTTCCCTCCTCCAAGGTCAGGGGCAGATAAAGAGCAGAGCGGGATTTAAATCCGGATGTCCCGCCTATAAAGCCAGTTCCTATTTTGCTAGAGGGCGGTTTCGGTGGGTGAATGATGAACTTGATCAGCTGTGCTGGAGCCCCAGGCTGGGGGAAGGGAAGGGAGGGAGTCCAGGGGCCCCACTGGGAAGAAGTTGTAGAATGTTCTAGCCCGAGGTCCTGAGGCTCAGCGTTTCTGGCACATCCCTGTTTCAGCAGCATGAGGTCCAGGTGCTTCAGGACCCAAAGTTTCTACAGCTCCTACAGCTGTGCTGGGCACCGGGCACTCTGTGGGCAGCAGGCCAGTTCATGTACACAGCGCTCAGAGCAGGGCTCCAGCGAATCGGCCGGGGTCCAGGCACAGAGAGGTCACATGCAGTGTGAGGTCAAGGCCAAAGCTAGAAATGACCACTCCAGTCCAGAGATTGCAGGACAAGAACAGAGGCGAGTCAGGGAACTTAGACCATGCAACTAGAAAATAAAGCCTGGCCAGATCTGCGGCTGTTTTCTTCTTTTCATCCTGCCTGGCAGTGGCCATCCAAGGCCCCAGGAGAGGTCATTCAGGTCTCCTATCTCTGTGTCTCCTTCTCCCTGGCTTTCTGTCCTAGGCCAGCTAGTCACTGCTCAGTACCACATGGGCCGTGTCTTCTCAGACAAGACAGAGATTTCTCTATTGAAATGGAAGGTGAACGAGGGACTATGGGTTTCTATTTCTTTGTGATCTGGAACTAGAATCACCTGGACAGATCTGGACCTCCCAGTGTCCAAACCACACCTGGACCAGGGACTGAGAACATCTACAGGTGTGACGTGGGCTCAGGTGAATCCAACCGCATCACCTGGAGCTTGTTAGCAACTCAGGGTCTACGTTAACACCCAGGTGAGAGCAGCAAAAACAGTGAGCCTGGTGCATAGCACGCAGCCCAGGGGCTCTGGGTCTGTCCCTTGGTCACCAACCCATGATGTACTACCTGTCCCCATGGGCTCTGAGTGGTGGGTGGACCTCAGCTGGTGGGCCCTGCCTGACCACCAGAGCCCAGATTTTGATGACCAAGACAGATAAGGCAGGACATTGGACCCTGGGCCCAGGGAGGTCTGAGCAAGTCACCTGGCCCGGGGTGCTACTCCCAGCCCATCAGGGATGCCCGATTCCCACCGTGCCCGTGGGGTGCTGGAACCCCGTGCAGACTCCCCGAAAGGTGGGGGCCCTCCCTCCACTCACACACCTGCCATCTGTGCATGGCCCAGCCCAGGGGTCGGCAAACTTTTGCGACGGAAGAGCCAATCCTGTCCCTCGACGTTTTGCGAGACTTATAAAACAAATGAAATCACCATGATGTGAATAATATCCTTTAAAATTTTTATAAATGAAACTACGATAGTTTTATTTTCATTTTCAATTTTACTTCAGAGCCGCATGTACGTACCCAGAGAGCCGCACATGGACCGTGAGCTGCAGTTTACCGACCCCCTGGCCTAGCCTGTTAGAAAGCCCTTCCTGATACTGGTATGGAATCTGCCTCCTGGGCCCTGGCCAGTGACACCTGGGGGCCTCTGCCTCCCACAGGTAGGCTTGGGGGACCTTGTCTCCATTTCAGGTTGTGGGCACCTCTGCGCCTGTTCCTTGCCTCCCTCATCCTGGGACCTCAGGCCGATTCCTCCCCTCTAGAATGGTTACCTTGGCCCCCTGTCCCCAAGAACAGCTGGGACAAGTTGTTCAAGAAGATGGACTCTCCCCAGCACACCTCATACCAGCTTCATTCTTGAGCAGCCTTTCGTAGGTGGTAATACTGACATGACTGGGGAAGACCACCTAAGGGAAAATGCTGCCCCTCCCCCACTGTCTGGCTGGATCAGGGACCTGGGTTAGGAGACAAGGCTGGGAGGGGGTGTTGAGGGGTCTTCACCAGGAGTAGCGAGAGGAAGAGAATGGGTGAGGGAGCAGATACCTACTGGAGACTTGGGGAGGGGAGAGTTGGAGAGAATTTTAAAGATGCTTTGCTGCTTATCAAAAATCTACAACGTGCACCCAGAGAAGGACTTCCGTTTTCCACACTATGGCAGACTATTCACTGAGCAATAGTCCCACGGCAAAGCAATGAAAAAACAACATATGTGTATGTGTACATGAACGTGT